TATATATATATATATATATATATATATATATATATATATATATATATATATATATATATATATATATATATATAAGTAAACTAATAAAACTTAGCATAGCCTTCCTGCTTCCATAACTGGTGTCGCCACATGAATTACAAGTTTTAACACAGTGCTGAGAAAGAAGTCAGCAATTTCCTTGTAGGGTTAATATTCACATTACTGATACACAAAGTATTTTAAAATAGTTTGCGGGAAAAAAAAACAAAAAGAAAAACATAAAGACAAAAAATTCAGCAGCTTCTTTCATATAATGATCACTTAACAAGAAGGAAACATCAATTCAAGTAAAAAACTATAAACCATTAAGAAATCCCACATATTTTAAACTTAAAAAAAAAAAAACTTTAGCCTATTCAAATGCAAAAGTTGCTTCCAGTTGGCAGCAGGAGTAAAAAGTGCAGAGATTAATTTTAAGGTTAAATCTTCTTTATAACACTTAAGATCTTCTTGTATAACAAGACCAGAGATCTTAGACAGTTCTACTCTCCACCCAGTTAAAGGAAAAAGGCATTTTGATTCTAAAAAAGGGAAAAATTTAAATCTTTCAAATAGTAAATTAATTATAATTTTCAAAGAACCACTGTTTTATTTTGATGTTTAGATTTTAAACTAAAGACAAATAAGCAATTAAAAAACAGGATGAATACATTTTCTTCTTTTCCAGATGTTGTTTTTTGGAGGAAATTCTGTGAGGGTTAAAACAGGATGTTAAGAGCTAATATTGGCTCCACAGCGATAGCGATCACTGTAACTAGACTTTATAGATAGAAGTTAAAGATTTATTTTCTGTTGTAAATAAATACTGTTTTTGTTTACAAAAGCATATCCCAGCCCCAGAAATGAACTCTTTCACATGAGCTGAACTCCAGTTTTTATGTCCTGGCTGTGGAGAAACACACTCTGTTTCTTAAAGTGTTTTCTATGATCTGACTCAGATCTTTCAAAGACAGAGATGAATATGATTGCATTCATATTGATATTAGAACAACGCTGAATTTTCCTAAGGAGTCTGATCACTCTACTGCATGGCTTCATCTCCAAGATGGAAAAAACAATAGAAGACAGTCGAAAATAGTCAGTGACTAAGAATCCTAATTGTGTTTGCATTCTTTCATCTGGAAATAATAAATGTTCTATATTATAAAGCTGCAGTAAAAAATACAGCTGTGATTCTCAGAGGAGAAAACATCTCTGAGCTTCAAAGATTTTTCAGGGAGCTTTTATTTCTGCACATCAGTCTCCTAGAGTTAAAAGGACACTTCAAAACATTTAATCACTCTACAGAGAGAAGGATTATTCACAAGTGGAACCCTATCCTGTCTTAGTCTCCAAAGGCCTCAGTGGCAATATAAGTTAGATAATTAGAAGAAGACTTAACAAGGATAGCTTGCTAATGAACTACAAGACCCAATATCATATAGAAAGATGAAACCAAACTAAAGACGGTCAACTGCAACGCAAAAAATGAGAACATGGATACAGAACCACTTACACCAACTGCAAAGTTATGATTTAAGACCATCTAAGTAGTCGATAGACACCCAATGCGAGGACATGTAGAAGACTCGTCATGTAGAAAACTAGCATTAGCTCTTTCCACTACAAATGTACGCAAATTTGTTGATATTCAGCTATTTCTGAAAATACTCATTTTTGCAATTGCTGTATTTCCATTAAATAAGACATACAACTAAAATTGCATGCAATGCACTTTTGGTTATGAAATAACAACAGACAACAGCATGGTAGTTGTTAATACATCAATATTACCTTCACAGACATAGTGTTGACTATGCTTTTTTTTAGACTATTATTACTACTTGGGCTTTCTTTGTTCATCTTTTAATTAATAAAGTTAATCTCTGAAACCTGTTGTTATTCCACACTTGAGTTTAGATCTGTGTATCTTTATTCATATTAAAACCTGGCAAAGACGGTTGATAATGCCGTGTTTCAATTAACAAGAATGTGAGTACGGACTCGTGTCTTTGCCAAGTATGTTCTTGAGAAGAACACAGGAAAGTATGGACTCAGGAAGAAGCATAGACATGGTTCAATTGGAACAGAAGCGTACTGTACTTGTGACGTCACCACACGCTCTGCTAGTCTGGAGCTGCATTTCACCTCCTGTAATTAAAAGTCTCTAGATAATAATAAATTCTTACTTTTTTCATTTATTGGAGGAATAATATTTAAGACAGTCAGATAAACACAAATCAAATGAACATTTTGCAAAATAAAACAAAAAACTTGTCATCAGAGCCAGCGGTACTACTGCTGCAGAGGGGCTGGGAATAGAACCGGCTGCCGTTACCCTCAGAGATCCGCTGGTTGACGTGGTCCTCTCAACTTTGGATATTTTTTTTAAATTAAGCATTAAATTGGTAAACGGGCCATATAGTGACGCTTAAAAGTACAATGTTCTTGCCTCAAATGATCTTAAAACATACTTTTATTGAACAACGGCAACAGAAAAGAGAACCTTAAACTCAATACTCTCTGTGAGTGCTTAATTGCAAGCTGCTGCTGTCCCAGTGCATGCTGGGACAGCAGCAGCTTGCTTTCTTTAGGTACTGGCACTGGCTCCTTATGCCAAAATCTGGATTCAGTCCGAGTCAGCTTAATCATTCCCATAATGCAACGTCAAGACTGTTGGTTAACCTCTTAAAACCCACCGGGTCGCCGGCGACCAGGTGGACCTTAAGTAAGGGTAATAATTCAGAATGCATAAAATTCCACCAATAAAATTTTTGTGCGCAGCTCCAAGCTGACACCAAAAGTTCCAAACCCCACAGCTCTGGAACTGTTATAGCTAGAGGTCTGAATTTTTTTGCATTTGTGGCTGACATGATGTAGAACAAATATAATACAATAAAACCTGCCTTTTTTCAAGAATGTCTTTATTACTGCTGTTCAAAAAAGACATATAATTTTCGAGAATAAAAAAACAACAACTTTGAGTCATGTTTGAACTGATGTAGCTTGGTCTGTGTTCTAGTTACCCAATTTTAATTTATATATTTAGGAAACTAGAGGGTGTTAGCTTTCAAATAATGTATTGCACATGTAATTTGGGCTTACAGTTCCTAAGTTGTTTGCTTTTCCATTTGGGTATGCAAAATAGGTGATGATTACCCAAAATGAGGTGGATATTATGAGGTTAAGGATTGCCTAGGGGTGTTGCAAGGATAGACTTGTCTATTGTTCTTGACGCATGCCAAGATACATTGGGTGCTGAACAGATGTCCAAAACAAGAAAAATATACAAAAATATGTCAAAGCTTCTTGGGTCCCATTGAACAACATGGAAAATGAATTATCAGAACATTAAGGATGGAAACGATGGAAATGTTTAGATATAAAAATATTTGAGGTAGTTTCACCAAATGGGCACAAATTACCTGCCAAAAATCAGCAAGCGGCTTACTGGATTCCATGATGGCATCTAAGAATTTTTTTTTTTTTATGTAATTATCTCACTGCTCACTTAAAAGAGAAATTACACTCTGAAACGAAAAATCTTTTTGTTTACTGTTGTTTGTTTATCACCAAACTGAGTGCTGCCGATGAGCTTCCTTTGTCTCAACAGAGGTCAAGAATGAAGGAGATAAATTTATAGAAGAGGTGGATAATCAGTCCTTTATATGAACACCGACACAGCTCTACTTTTCCATTCGATCGTAAAGTTCATTTGTCAAATTAGGACTGGACTAGTAAATAGGAGGGGACTGCCTGAACCTGGGGCCTTTCTCTGGGGAGACAGGAGACATAAAAGCAGACATAATCTGCCACAGAAATAAAAAGTGACACTGACACACACAGCTGTAAAAAAAGAGCAAGAAGAAGAAGAGGAAAGAAAGATCAATGACTGGAGCCAAGGGAAGGATACAAGTTTTAAAACAGAGCCCAGAGTTTCAGGGGAACCATGCATTCAATAAAAAATAAGTACTTCAGAGGGGAGAGGAGGTCCAGCAATGATTCATCATAGGCAACAGAGGGTATCCAATTAGATCAACAGAAGAGACACCGCCATAAGGCTATATACGGGACCTCATACGGCTCTGAAGCAGCAAACACGGATAAGCTACTCTGAAGAAAAGATGTGATTTTATCTCAACTGATGATTATCAGGAAGCCGTTAAAGTTCAGCCACCATGAGGCAATATTTGTAAGGGCATTAAGATGTGACTCGTTCTGCAGAGAGAGTCCAAAATAAAATCCATTTAGTCTGGATTCTCTGAATAACAATCTTCCAACAGAACAGGCATGCACTGCTCCTCTCCCTAGGTCAATTTCACGCTACTCACCTTATGTGTTTAGCTGTTGCACTGTAGAGAAATTACGTGTGGGTTAGGTCCATTTTGTGGCGCCAGACTGCATTAAATCTGAAGTTAGAAAAGCCACTTTTGTAATCAAATAGCAAGAAAAAAACTTAATAAATCCTAAGCGGGGACGCTCAAATAGAAAAGCAGCTAGGAGGTCAAATCAAATGCTTTTAAAGTGAAAATGGGCCCTCCAAGGATGAACATTAACAAGA